CCAGTGCAGATGCCAGTGGGAGATACCAGTCTGTTGTAGCTCTGTGCGCAGAGAAACTAAAGACTAAATAAACACTTTGGCAAACTTAAGAAAAAAGGGTTTCTATTGATATTCATATCCTAGTGAATGGCTGTTGTCCCAGCTTCTGCCAAGATAGGATCATCCTGGGTTCCAGTGGGTTCCTACACTGATGCTTTACCTTTCAGACTGTGGTGTTAGAAAGAATTGTGGTATGTCTGGCTGTTAAAAGTAATTTATGTTATACTTTTAAAATGCCTATGGTGAGATTATGGGTCTTTGAATACTGACATTTAGCACACCCTCAGAAAAGCAAAAATTGCTGCAGGAGATAATAAAGTCCCTTGCTTTACTAAGGGATGTGATCTCATTAGTGCATGATTTTTTTTTCCATTAAATTTGAAGTGAGTCAGACCCTTAAGAGAGTAAGTAGTGGATAATGATAACGACTTACATTATGTTTCTTGTTTGCATTCTTAGTCTACCAAAAGAGCTCTTATGAAAATATAAAAAGATATTCTAATCTTAGAATTGTCTGTGTATTTCCTGTCTGTGTTGTTAGGGATCTCTAATTGGAGGTTGTCTCCTTGCCAAGCATTTAGATCTTTTAATGTTAGTATCAGCATTTATGTAATTAATTCTGAACTGTGGTGGATAAAATTGTAGTGGTAATTGTTATTCACAGACATTTACAGACTTTTTTTAATTATTATTTCTTTTTTAATTTGCCTATACTGGCATGTTGCAGTATGTTTGAAAACCATTTCTAACATTCTGCATTGTACATATCATTGAAAGTAAAGGCTTTTGATTGTTAATCTGACCAAACATATCAGGTCTTTCTCTTCATCATGTCAGTAAGTGTTTCTGTGGTGAGGCAGCCTGCTTCTGGGCTGGACTGCCACCTCGAGTGCCTGGATTTTAATTGTCCTAGTTGCATGCTTAATGAATTTCTAGAATATTTCTGTTAGAGCTGGATGTCTGGAAAATCTTTTTAGTGTATTTATAATGACCTAGGTTGTAACCTGTAGGTAATTAAATTACAAATTACTTTTAAAGCCAGGTTTAGAGCTGCTTTTGTTAAATCATTTTAGCCTTGTATCTTATTGGAGAAAAACTGATTATTTCATTCTCTTCCCCATCCCCCGTTATGAATACAGTGATTTAAGTTATTTTGCTCTGGTCCTGCCTGACATTGCTGTACAAATTTTACTTGTTTATTCTGGTTTAAGTGGGAATGACAAAAGTGATCAGAGGACTTTGTTGTTCCTTTTTCAACCCTCAGGTTCTGTGTGCTAGGCAATAGATAAGTTATGCCTGTCTACTATGTCTATGAAGAAATATGCAAGCTTACTTTTAAAAAGACCACTTGTGACCCAGCATATGATGGAGGGGCAGTTTTTAGATTTATCTTTTCCATTGGATAATGTTCCAAGTTGTCACATGATTCACAGTGTCTGGTTCTGAAAATTTTCTGGTTTTCGGCTGAACGGAAGCAGTCAGAAAATCCCAATTACAAGAAATTAGAGCTCTATCTGGCTTACCAAATCCAAATGCAATTTTAGACATGCTATCAGTGAGACAAAGATTTTTAGCTGCTGTTGATATAAACTATAATAGCAAGTAATATGTCTTTATGATTCTAAAAGGTAGTTTTATTATTGTATATTATGCAATAGTCACTGAAATGCACATGGGTTGTTAGCTGGTTCACAATTCATATCAGGATTTCCATGTGTTATTCTGTAATATTCTGGATATCATACACTGCTTAAGAGGTGGGGAAAAAGTGCAGCCAAGCAGAAGGATTTGTAACTAAGACAAGACAAAGTACAATAATTTAGAAATTATAAAGGTAGAAGCAATTAATACATGATCAATTAAAAATAAACATAAAGTAAAAGAATTTTTAATGAGGTGGCTTCAAGTCTTCCTGGTATTTGTGAACACTTCTTTTGCAGGTGGTTTTTTGAAGTACTGGGATATCCCAAATCTTCAATGGCCAACATCATCAATGGTGTGCTGATGACGGTTGTGTTCTTCGTGGTGAGGATTGCTGTCATGCCTGTATATTACAGCCATGTAATTTCTTCATTTGGAACAGAAGGTTTCCAGAGATTAGGATTTGCAGCCCAGAGCGCCTGGATAATCTCAAGTGTTGTCTTGGATATTATGAATGTGATGTGGATGGTCAAGATTGCAAAAGGATGCTACAAGGTCATTTGTCTTATTGGACGGGAGGAAGCGAAAACTCATAGAAATGGAAAATCTGCCTAGAAATCATACATAAAATGAAATTTCTGCTATGAAAATAATTTGGGTTCACTGAAACAGTGCACATTTCTGCCATGGAATGCTCCTATTATGGAAACAAGGTATTACCTCTGTACTGACCTTACTCTTTCCCTAGCCACACTGCCTGCACGCCCAGGGCCACGCTTTGCGGATCCTGTCCAGTGAGGAGTAAAAGCAAAAGCTCACACAGATGAGTTCCACATGCCTGTTCTAAGCAGTTGCAAGCATCAGAAATTAGAAAGGAGCAGACTGGTTACTTGCTTATTGTCCACCAGTGTGTTCAAAGTGTTTCTCTCAGGTTTCTCTGATTAAAATGTTTTATAAATCCAGTGAATACTGACATATCTGTTTTTTTAGAAAATGAAAACTTCCCCAAACTCCTGATATGGTGCAATTTTCCAGGCACGTTTCTATGTTTTCTTCTAGAAATAACAATCAAGATTTCATTCTTGACAACTTTTTAATTTTTGCAAGAAAAGCTAAAAAATTGGCTTTGATTCTATGAAGTCTTTTACTGTTTTTTGTTCTGCCTTATATGAATGCAAACCATTTTGGGAAATTTATGAAATAATTTTATCTAAAATGCTGTATTATAAGACCACATGATATCTTAAAAGCTGTTAAAATTCTCACTTTAATGGGAAGGATTTCCATTTGCTGTGCTAGGTAACATGCAATAGTACATATTATAAATTCCCCATGGAACTTCTTTTTTTAAGTTAATATGGTAGATGATGTGTGGAAATGGCATAGTTCTTACTGAAGTGCTTTTTCCTTTGCTGCTATTCCCTTTGAGAAGTGCTGCAATTCTTCTCAGAGTATTTTTAGCCATTGGCTGTTTGGATTCAAAATTTAATTGCAAAGATATAAAAATCTTCTGTATATGTGATGTGTAACTTTAAGTAATTTCTTTCTCTTTTATCACAAAAATTAATTCATATTTGATACGAAGAGTTGACGTTTTTTGTCACATTTTCCATGTTAATCAAGTCAGAAATCTGAGGTGTGACTAAGAACACTCTTGAATTAACTGTGCCAAATTCCTCTAAAGCTGTATGGTAATTCTGTAGAAGGAATGGTTGACTTTCTTAGACACAATTTTTTTTTTTTGTTTTAGACCACACATTTGTCAATACATACTCAGTTACTCTGTCTTTGATCTTGAAGGCTTGGAGGTCATCAGGGAGGAATCTCACCATCGAGGAATAGTCCTAAATCTCATTTATGATACAGTTTGAGAAAATTCTGAGTTATGTTTTACTTAAAATTATTTTGAGAGCTATATTTATGTGTAAATTTATTTGTTTTGCTTCTTTTAACCAGAATTGTGACTGATTAATTTCTGGTTTTTTCCATTGGTGTAGGTGTGCTAAAAGCGTCCATTTTCACTGAGGCTAGTCAGGTGTGAGTGCCCCGTGCTGACCTCCCTGGTGAGGGACTGGGCATTCCCCTCTTCCAGAAGTTGCATGTAGGACCCAAGAGGACTGCACAGGCTGAAATACCTTTTAAGCAAGGCAGCCGCAGTGAGTTTAGTTAAAATGCTGTCAGAGGGTATTTTTTGGACTTGTGAAAAATGCACTTTTGAAAGTCTAGTTCCATTGCTCAGCTCAGCAGGGGTTTTTTTCTAAAAGTTTCCCAATCCTGCCTTGTTAAGGGACATAGCAAGGATTGTTAGTACTTGTCTTTTTTGGATCCCATGGTTATTTTTTCATCACAGACCTATGGACAAAAGATGTGTTCATGCCTTGAGAGAGTTAGCTGTTACCTGTTGAGCTGTATGATCTGAATGAGCACAGTG